GATTTAAGTGCAATATACATGTTTATAACGATATAATAAAATAATAATAAAAATTTGCATGAAAAATAGAACGAAGATTTAACCTAATATCTTTAAAGAAATTTGAAGTAGTCGTAATAAGGATTTTGGTGATATAAAGAACGCTGAAATCCGAGTTATAACGAAGAAGTTATGACCCGTCGAAGTTTTGCGAAAAAACCGGCACGATGTTGTGTATCGTAAAAAGTGATTTTACGATAACATACTTTTTAGCCGTAGCGATCTAAACGACATTCGTAATATACGCTAAACCGAGAGCGTGCATATAGAGAGCATCCAAATCTGACTTCGTTAGATGAATTTATTATTTTTCTAAGATCTGGCATACTAGTATTCAGCCCGGAAATCGAATTTTAGACCGATTTATTTTTAGCCGACACAATCTAAATGAGAATCGAATATCTTGTGAATAGGAGCTCAACAATATAAAGACAGACGAAAACCGACGTCGAATAACAAAGTTATGAATTTTTAACAGACTTTATCTATCTAAGTCTATTAAAATATAACTTCAAAAATAAATTAGAAATTAGCTGATAGATTCTAAATGAAAGCTATAGATCCCGTCGATAGCTACACGTGGATATTAAGAATGTCAAAACCGGAGCTCGTATGCGAAAGTTACGAATTTTAGAAGATTATTAATTTTGGGTTTAACCTCGAAGTGCAACGTGGCACCATCTCAGCCCTACATTTCTCCACAAGGCTTCACAGACGAACTCGACATGTGTTGCTGGTATGCCCTACATACCGTGTACGTTTAGCGTACTTCGAAGTTACGCCCTGCATACTCCGAGTTTCCAGCCTGTAAATAGATGCGTAGATCACCTCATTTTCTCATAACTTTCTCAAACCTTCTCTCCCGAACACCCCAAACCTTATGAATTTTTCCCTAGCACTTCCCAAGTGTTAGATGAGAGTCCCGTAATGTCAGAAGGCTCCGACAAGAAGATCTTTCGGCTCAGAAGTTCTGCCCTGCAGAGCCCAACTCCTAGCAAAACCTCATTGTAAGTGAGATATGTTTGCCCTACTTTAAGTATAACTTATGTTTAAGTTCATTATCATTATTATGAGCCCATAAAAAGATTTATCAGTGATTCAAAGTCATTATACTGATTGAACTACTTATAGGAGAGGTGTCTACAATGGTCATGTTAGGTTTGCTTGTTGGATTTTAGAAAATATATATGCTAAAACTGTTTTGTCTCCCAACTGTCCTACATGGATGATCCTTACTTGATAGATCATGATGTAGACCTTGAGTTAATGATAAATCTAGAGTAATAATTAGTCGCAATAAATATTAGACTAAAATCTAGTAATAATGATACTAGGTTTCATCAAAGGAAAAGACGATTATTAGAACCGAAGTGTTGCCCGAGTTTGGAGTCATCACTTTAACAAGTGAGTGCATAGTTATTTTCATCTTACACACACACAGATATATATATATATATATATATATATATATATATATATATTAGGTATTTAATATAAATTATGTGCTATGTGTGCATATTATCTATCTTCTTGACATCTATGTTGGATGAACAAAATATACATGTTTTATTCGATTTAAATTGTATATGTATTTTATACCTATAGTTATGATGGGTAAAGATGGGTAGATGATATTGATGATGAAATAATTAATGAGAGGCCTTGATGTTTAAGCTGATTCAGTCATCTAGCGGAGTATAGACGACGACTATAGACTATTTTAGACAGTCTGGTGGAACGCTAGTAGGCTCGCAATCTGTAGGTGTTTTTGAACTACGTGTTCACCAGGTGTCTTCTATCCCCCTCATTGTTGCATTTTTGACATATATTGATAAGGAATCCCCTAATAAGTGTTGTCCATCCCGATGAAAATCCTTAGGCTATGTCCCTTAATTTAGATGTTTTAAGGACAGAAAGTGCTGATAATTGGAACGGGTAATCAGGTTGAATGATTTGATGACATTAAAGAACTTAATTATTGTGGGTTGAAAACTCTATGTGCTCACTAGGCTCCCAAGCCTGACCTAATCAGTTTCTTGTATTACAGGTAGTGGCCATAGAGCACAGGAGTGATGATCTGATAAGAGATCAATGGATTATAGGCCATTAGAATAATAGATGTTGTAAGGCATGTACTATTTCCGTTTATGCTTTTGTATTGTATTGACAATGACATCATAACATTTTAAATATAATAAAACACATTTCTTCGCAAACGCTTTGGTAATTTACTTATTATATTTTTGGGAACAAATCCTGCAACATATTTCTTCAAAAGGATACTCTGATTTTCAAATATAGCAAAAAAAAATCGGTCTTATCTGACCGTGAAAATGGGGATGCCACTAGAACCTTCCTCTGAATAAGATCTGGGTCAAAACTAAAGTTCACTTCGTGAAGGAACCAATGCATATCTTGGATATAAAAAAAATCAAAAGTCTCAAACAAAGTCGAATATATGTAGTAAATACCCGATGAAACACTCATAGAGAGCCGAAGTTTACTTGGGAACGTGAGGATCAAATGAAACAAAAGTATTTGCAACTATTTAGCGGTGCTCCCTCCACTACTGTAATGAAATACTATTAGAACAAAATGATAGTGGAACAAAACAATCTGGAACATAATAATTTTGGGACGAAATTCCCGTAACGAGGAGGTAATGTGACATCCCGGAATTTAGGCCAAAGACTATGAACGGTCAAGTTCACAGTATGTGATAGGTGCATTTTATGCACCTATTTTGCATGTTATTTCTATCATTTTATAGCTAACTACTTCATAATTCCTGCATTTAGTTAATTATTTGGGCAATTGCATATTTCATTAAGAATGCCTGGTATTTCACCATTTTTGATTTATTTTGCAGGCATTATGGAGCATGGAACGTGGAGCTTGGATGCATGGAGCTTGGATTCTTGGAGCTTTGGAGCATGAAGAGAAGATGAACTGGTCATTCCATGGCAAAAAACATGAAGATGGAACCCGAGTCATTGTGCATTATTATCATAGCAAAGGACTATGTTTGAAACGCGATTCTTGTCACACCGATACGGGTCGTGTTTGTCCTTTATCATCTTATATTTGAGCAACATGACTCGTGGTGAAGCTAGATTAAAGATTGAGCCAACAGTAAAGACTTTTTGGAATTTTAGCAAAAAGCATGAGCCATGCCAAAAACACATGGTCAAAAGGCATGGCCATGCCAAAAACGCATGGCCTTATGGAAAGCACATGAACATTAATAAAAACAAGTGAAGATGCCGCCATTTCACAGAAGACGGTTTTAGGGAGCAGTTTTCGATGATCTTGGGTGAATTTAGGAGAATTCTGGGTGTTATTGAGAAAACCTAATCATTGCAAACACTTTTGATTTCATTTTTGTAAGGATTAAACATTCCAATTCCATCTTTATTCTTGTTTGATTTGTTCTTAGCCATGTGTTGCTAAGAAACCCTAGTTTCTAGTTCTTGTTCAAAACATGTTGATTGTTTGACTTGAAGCATATGATTTGATGTTTGATTTGTGATTCTATTATAGTGATTATGTTTTTGTTTAAACTAGAACCCTTAAATTTGATTTGTGTTTCTATTCTAGTGATTCTATTCCAATATCAAGAACGTCCAAAACGGAGTTCGTATGCAAATGATACGACCGTTGTATGAGTATAATACTGATTTTCTTAAAACCGCTTCCATCCATTGAGGAACTTGCACACCTCAAATGGGAATTCCGAAAGCATTTTTGGACTAAGACTATAGCTTAATATTCAATTTTATATTTCAATTTTTAGTAAAAATATTTATAAGAGTCAAAAATTAGACGTTTTTAACTTAATTACACGTGAAACATTAAACGTCATTTCACGGAGATCAGTATAACAAAATTTGATTTCGTCTGCATTTTTGGAATCATCACGATCTCAACCTTAAGCAGACATTTATAGAAAATTTATATGAATAGATACGTAGGGCACGAGAATCGAGGTATACATCACAATAAATATATATATATATATATATATATATATATATATATATACATATATATATAAGTGAATATACCCTTAAGGGTATATAAGCTTAGGTACTCAAACTCACTATACTACGTTGTTTTATATCATATAATACTTTCTAATTGTTCGGTGTTGTTATAATTTTACTTCTAACTTGATTTACTTACAAGATTTTTATAAATTACATATTTATTTTCTTATTATATAATTTTCACTTTCAACTACAATATAGATAGCCGAGTAGGTGTTCAGCAAAAAGATTTGATGTAAGAGAAAAATAATAGTAAAATTCCAAAAATCTTGAAAGTAATCAAGTTAGGAGTTGGATTTTAAGAACATTATAATAAATATATGAAACAAAACGACGTATTTTTGTGTGTTTGGATACCTAAGCTTATATACCTTTAAGGATATATTCACTTTTCCATATATATATATATATATATATATATATATATATATATATATATATATATATATATATATATATATATATATATATATATATATATATATATATATATATATATATCAACACTAATTATATATAAATTTATATATGTATGTATATACGAGTATAAGACATATTGCATAATCAGTTATCTGTGGTGGATTAAATTTTAATAAATATATATTAGATGTATGTCAATTTTTAATTTAAAAGACCAATGTTTAACAAATTAATAATCTTACAATTCCAAAATATATATCATGAATGAAACCAATAAAATTTCTCAACTATTTATACACAAATACATGCTTAACTAAACCAAATACAAAGAAATTGATAGCCAAATATTTCATACACAAATATATACTTAACTAAACCAAATACAAAGAAATTGATAGCTAAATAGCATTCCTTCCACATTACCATTTACCCAAGTAAATTACATACTTATTGATTTATAAATTGATTGCAAGTTAAAACCAAATACAAAAAAATTGACAGCCAAATAACATTCTTCCACTTCCACATTACCATTTACCCAAGTTAACACAAAAACAAATTTATATTGCTTCAAAATTTCACCTAAGATACATAATTCTACACTCAAAAAAAAAAAATTGATTCTTGCAAACTTCCTTTAACCAATTAAACACTCAAAACCACCAAAGGGCATCCAGTCGAACGGTTTGCAGTATCCTGTGTTGCTCTCTGTTCTTGAGGTTTAGGTTCAAATCCCGTAGTTTCTGTAGTTTCTTTAGACTTTCGGTTTCAAAAAAAATAATAATAAATAATCACTTTATCGTCTTCTATTCGTGAGCAACCCAGAAGAAGAACAACACCTCTTTCTTGATTCATTTTCTTTCCCTGTCGACTGAAACAATCAAACATTAAAAAAAAGAAAATTTTAAATTTTAAATAAAAAAAAAATCACTCAAAATCTCTATCCCTCACGATCCTCCTGCCCCTCGAATACCTTGTCCATTGTAAAAACATAAAAGCAATCGGAGTTGCTGTCATCCTTAGATTCCTCTTCCGTTCTTCCCTCTTTCCTATCAAGAACCAAAACCAAGCTCCCATTTAAACCTATCGATTTTCTGTCAAAATCAAACCCAAATATCTATTTTGGTCATTCCATACATTCATGTTAAAACAAACAAAATCCCAAAAGAAACTTCTTACCTATTGTTGATCGGAACTGTCAAAACGAGGGGGGGAACATCGCGATTGTCGAGCAAACACCACCGAGACCTCCTCTGCCCTCGCCTTCATCATCTTCTGTCCCCAACAACCCCAGACCTCCGAAGGTCTCACCTCGTCGCTGCTGCTGTTCGCAACACCCATGGACCGTTCCTTTTCTTCGGTCTAATCGACCACCGGAGCATGCCACTCGGGTGCGATGAGTCTGCAATCGCCGAACGAGAAAGAGAGAGCCTCGCTGCTTTCGTCTCTTCTTCTCCTTCGGTTCGGCCAAGCACGGGAGCCGCCACCCTCTTCGTGATCGGCCTGGACGTCCGAGGTAGCAGCCATGCGTCTGCGAGCTTCTTTCTCGTCGTCTGATATCATTGCTCCCGTATCCCCTTTTCCTTCGTCGCCCGATCGTACCCTTCTGTGACTAATCGAACAGATGACGACGGGTGTAAAAAGAAAGCCCTAAAATCCTTTTGAACTTAACCCCCTCTGCAGCAACATCATTTTAAAAGAACCCCATTTTTCCCAAACATTGCGGTATTTTAAACAAAACAACCCCTCAATTGGTTTATTTTAACAAAATAAATCCCGACATTCAAACTTTGAATAAAAATAAGAATTTCAACCCCTTCATTGAAAATCCTTAACATCAGCCCAATTTTCAAACATAATTTCAGTTTAAACCATTTCAGTCCCTTTTTTTTATTTATTTTTACCAAAGCAATCCTATTTTGGTTAATTAATTTACCAAACAACCTCCAATAGTTTAATTTTGTTACATAATGGACCCAGAGTATTTCAAAGTTCAAGAATTGTGGATTTACGGTTTCTCATGTCAAACCACTCAAAGAAACCGAATTCGAATGATTGGAACTCATGCTTCGAGGGTGAGTGCTTACGGTCCCTTGTTATTATTTTAATTATTTCGCGATGGGGGGTACATGTGTTTATATATTTTGTTTATACAAACCAACTACCTATTTATGCGAAAATACCATAAACCTAGTTTATAAAAATATTATTATTTAACTATTTACCTTATTGTTACGAATAAACTAGTATAAATGTTTCGTTTATGAATTATGGTTTTTTTATCGTAAAATAACCATTTCACACAACAAATACTACACGATACAAAGTTTTATGATTTTTATATGACATTGCATATTGTAACAAGTACGTTATAAAACCCTATAGTATTTCAAGGATTCAAGCTATTGTTAAGCATGCTTATTTATATGTTTAAGTACACCACGTTTATACTTGTACATATGTTCATTAATTTAAAACATTCATTTTTTTATAAATGCGAACACATTCCACTTTACATATATGACAAACATTCTCTGGCTTTTTTAAACCTTATATAACGATATTCATTATGTTTATAACTTACCCATAAGTAAGTTAGGGCTGAGAGTTATTTACAAACTTTTTAGTTAAGGGCTTTTTAATGAGACGTTATGTTATTCATTAGTTGAGTTTAAATACATAGCATACCCACACTATTGTAACTGTTAATCTTCAGAGCGAGATACATATGTGTAGATCTATACGGTGTTGACATCCCCACCTGCGGTTGCCAGCTACAACCATCGACCGATCAATCGAAGCGGGTGATTGATGTTTACAATTTTTACTACAACATCCAATGAAGCGTTGTAGGGGGGTACACTCAAGTAATATAGATCGGTTATAGGACTCACTAAAAACATTAACTATAATATATATATCTCTCTCACTACCAACCATGGGCATGGTTGTTTTCAAAACTACTTTAAATATGGAATTACTTATGTATCATAATAGTTTGGTTTTCAATGATATTCAAATGTTTATTACAAACACAATTTAAAGTATGGATTTACTTATACAAAAGATGCATTCTGACTTTCAATGATTTATTACAAACACATTTTAAAGTATGGATTTACTTATACCAAAATATATTTTGGGCTTTCAAAGACTCATTGCAAACATTTTTTTAACTATTGTTATACATACAAAGATAATACTTTTTAGACTTATTAAAAGTATTATGTAACGCCCGTAGATCCGGCTAGTCAATTAGAGACGTTAAGTGTCAAAAATGACTTTTTGATGGAAGATTATTTTGAAGGAATCATCTTAACTAAGTTATAGAATATGTTACAAGGTTTCCGTGCATATAAAGAACACCGAAATCCGAGTTATAACGAAGAAGTTATGACCTGTCGAAGTTTCGCGACAGAACCGGCACGACACAGCGCGACGTAAATAGTGAATTTACGTTAGAGCGATATTTAGCCTTAGCAATCTAAACGAAAGTCGTAGATTTCGTTAAACCATGAGCGTGCATAAAAAGAACGTCCAAATCTGACTTCGTATGAGGAAGTTATGATTTTTCTAAGTTTCGACTTAGCGGAATGCAGCCCGAATACTCGATTTGAGATCGAGCGGTTTTTAGCCAAAAAAATCTAAATGAGAATCGAAGATCTCGTTGTTAGTAGCGAAACGATGAAAAGTTAGGCGAGAACGGACGTCAGACGAAGAAGTTATGAATTTATAACGAAGTTTTTCTGTCCCGGCCTTCTAAAAATAAATAATAAAAATAAAAGTCAAAATTAGCCGACGAAGTCTAAATGAAAGTTATAGAGTATGGTCTGACCTTCGCGTGGATATAAAGAACGTCGAAAACGGAGCTCGTATGCGAAAGTTACGCAATTTAGAAGTTCGACAAGTCAATTACGCCCCGCGTAATTTGAGTACGCCCCGCGTACTCAGTCGGATGCAACTTGTCTGACCGATACTCGAGTGCCACCAGTCGACGCACGCAGTGACGTCAAAGTACGCCCCGCGTAACCTGAGTACGCCCCGCGTAACTTGAGATTACGCCCCGCGTAATCCCAGGCCCTCAGCCTATAAATAGAACTCGAATTCAGCCATTTTCTCTTGTTCAAACTCTTCCCTCTCTCTAAGTTTTGCCTCGATTTGCGTGCCAATCATACCCCGAAGCCCCGGTAATATTCCCAAGCCCCGAAGCAAGATTCGAAGCCCCGAGGATCCCGAAGAGCGTTATTCCCGAGCCGAAGCGCTGCCCGCGAGGAGCCGGTTTTTGTGAAGATCTTCCAGATCTACGGAGAAACACTACTTCTGCAAGCCGTAGTGCTGCCCGATCATCTTCTAATCAAGTGAGTGTGTGGTTACTTTCTTCTAACGCATAATTATTAAGTATTTAGTATAAAATACGTGTTATGTGTATAATATAAAGTTGTTTATATGTGTGGGTGTATAGTCCCTTTCACAGACACGGGTATAATACAAGTATTGTTTGACTGTATTAAGTATATGTTTGGGTGAGTGTGTAGTTACCTTCTTTTAACACATAAATATGAAGTATTTGTTATAAAATACGTGCTATGTGTTTATATATTGTTGTTTATTTGAGATGAGTGTGGGATGGATGTTTTATATAGTTTTTAAATGAGTTAAACTGTATATGTATTTTATATCTACAAATATGTTGGGTAGAACATAGGTTGATGAGATAGTTGGTATGTGGTAAAACGATGAGGTATGAAAGATGATTAAGAATGATATTGGCAGATACACCAATTAGAGAATATCATAATACTAGCAGATACGTTTAAGAATAATATCGGTAGATGCACCAAGTAGTGAATGTCGTAATCCTGGCAGATGCGCTTATAGGATCATCCTGGCAGATGCGCTTATAGAATAATGTCAGCAGATGCGCCTAAAAGATAATGTCATAAACCTGGCAGTCGTGCCTCATAGTGTATGACGTAATCCTGGCAGAGGCGCTTAAAGGATAATGTTGGCAGATGCGCCTTATGTAGCAATGGGAGTTTGTGCTAATTCCTTAGGTCAATCCTTAGGAATGAATGAATGATGGGTAGTTGAATTCCTAGGGTAAAATCCTAAGAAATAAAGAAGATAATAGGGATGGGTAATTGAGTTGATTATTTGATGGTTGAATATAATAATTATATTATTGTGGGTTGAAAACCCTACATGCTCACCAGGCTCCCAAGCCTGACCCACTCAGTTTTCTTTGTATCACAGGTATCAATACGAAGACATATTTCATTGAGAGAATAAAGGAGATGTAAATCATTAGTGATAATAAATGTAAGTTCTGTTTATGCTTATGTGTCTGTATCGGAACATGACATCCCAAGATTTTGTTATATAATGAAAATACTTTTCTTTAAGAAATGCTTTGATAAATTTTTATCATATTTCTTTATTTTGGGGACAAATTCCGCAACAATTTTCTTCAAACGATTACTCTGATTTTATAAAACGAAGCATAAACAAATCGGTCTTTTCTGGTCGTGAAAATGGGGATGTCACATATTACTATGTTTAGCAGAAAACCTGTAACACTCACCAACCTTGTGTTGACCCTCAAAACTACAGGTATTCTCAGGAAATCACAAAACAGACATTCAAGACAGATTGGATTATAGGTGACCTAGTTTACTTGTTTTTGTATTTATATGCCTACCTGTTAAGGCAATTCATGTATTATTATTATTTTGTAAAAACTTTGTATTCAAATATCAAGAATGAACATGAACACTATTTTGTTTATTGATACACTTCTGTTATATATTCAATTTGCATGTGATCCATGAACTTAGTCGCACAGCCCGACGTGTTCCACCGCCTCGACCGGGGGTGTGACATACATCTACAATGAAAAATTTTAATAGTTTTGTAGATGGATGATAACATCTCAGTATCTCAAAGTCGACACAAAGTGAGTACCACAGACTCATTAAAATGAATGCTTTTGCACAAGAAGAGACATGTGATATTATAAACTTACGGCTGGAATGTTTAACCATCAAACCAATGGGTCAGAATCCCATCCTCCGTCCAAAAGGACCAAAAGATCCAACTCTAACATATACATAACCTCTTTTGATGCACAAACTCCATCTGATTTTCAGTGCATAGGCTGGAAAACATCTTGTAGAAACAAAAAAAGGAGGCGATGAAAGAGGAAGAAAGCAACATCCACATCCTCATAACCCCATAACTAATACAGATCGTCACCTAAATCGCAACCCTTGCCTATACAAACAAATAAAAGGTGGATGAGTGAAAGCAATACTAAGTTGATAAATTGTGGATCATGGAAATTACCGAGCAAAAGAATGTGGAACTCTTAGAGGAGGTGTTAAGATTGCTCATGAAAAAAGGAAAAAGATATGTAGTTTTTTCTTCAACCACATAATCATTTGATCGGAGGGATGCTAAGTGTGATGCTTGTGAAAAAGAGATAAATTTAAATGATTTTTGGTAGTAAGTTTTTTTTAAATAACTTTCATATCCAACCAACAACAAGAAAAAAAATAGTTCAATGC